TTTCTGTTATTTAATGAATGTTTGTTGCATTATTTTAGTATTTCAATGCATTATTTTGTTGCATCATTTGGTGTGTTTTGTGTTTGTGTGTATGAGCCAGTGTTTTATGAGCAGGTCACTTAAGATGAACTGCTTCATCATGTGGTTTTCTAGTATACCACCTGTTTTATCATGTTGGTTATCAGTACATTTTGAGATAAAAAGCCAGTTTAGGCAGTTCAAGTAGACTGGTATCACTAAGTCACTTGATGAAATACCTGAAATATTGTAACCCTTTTTTTTTTTTTATTACAGTGAATTTCCGGCTGCTGTCTATTTTACTGTAAATTTAACAGGATATTTTTAAAGTACAAGTGCATACCGTAGTAGTTAAGACACTTAATATAAAGTGTGACCAACAAACAGTCAGAAACTGATTGTCACTTGGATACCTGTAATTTAACTGATAATATCTCAACCATATCAGATCTATTAATTAGAAACATTGTTAAAGGCTGTCAGGCCAGCTGTTCACTTACAACCTCATGACAGAGTTGAGATTTTCCTGAAAATTTATAATATGGTAAAGCATCATATGGCTACTCTACTCTGTAAATAATAATAAAACGTTTTATGAAGGCAACCTGGAGGCATTAAAAAAGAGGGTGTGAGAAACAGTAAGAGTGAAAAATGTACAGTTAACAAGTGCAGAGGAGATTTTCTCAGTATTCAGATTTTTTTTGCACCCTCAGACTCCAGATTTTCAAATAGTTGTATCTCGGCCAAATATTGTCCTAACAAACCATACATCATTGGAAAGCTTATGTATAATACATTGAATACATATGATGTATAAATCTCAATTTTAAAAAAAAGACCCTTATGACTGGCTTTGTGGTCCAGGGTTACATATATAGTCAAATCAATCAGTAATTTCTGGGTATTTGAAGTAAATTTCTTTGAAAAAATTTTTAGGTGAAGAAAAAGTTTAAGCATTAATAAGTTCATTGTTCCATCTCAATCTACATGTAAACTGAAAAATTCTAATTTTGAATTTAACTTATTGTAATTCTCAAATATCCGTTTGTAAATAATCAATTGTTTACTGTATAAAATTGTAACAGGGAGTATAATATTCAAAACTGTTCTGTAGGCTACTGACAAACGTAACCAAATAAAATATAAAGTGATTAAAAAGAGACATTTTAATATATATATATATATATATATATATATATATATGGAATTGTACATAATTTTAATAAGAGTATATATTTACAATATTTATAATATATCATTATATATCTCCCTTATTATATAAGCAGTTTTAAAGCAATGTCACCAAAAGAGTCATATAAACATGATCCTACAGATACTGAAACAGCTGAAACTTTCTGAACAGATTATTCGTAGGCTATATACTCTGTTTTCCCCAGTACACGGTCATGCATGCAGTGAGAGTTTACCTGCTGAATCCGTCCATCCACGTCCAGGTATATCATGCGATACGCCGAAGACGCGCTGCCCATCTCGCTCCCCGCTGCCCTGGACTACCGGCTTCCGTTCGGTGCCTCCGTGACAGACCTAATATAAACTTCTGACCGTTTCTTTGAACTGGAACGGGTTTAATAACGTAGAGACCGTGTTGCTCATGGCCACCGATCTCTCAACTCATCGCCCCCCCTTCACTCCCACGAGTGCGCGCGCGAGAAGACGAGAAACGCACGCGCTTGCCTTATGATCTCCATAGTAACCGAGCCCTACAAGGACGCGCGAGGATGCAGTGTGTGAATCCGAAAGGGTCATGCAGCAGCAGGCTACCAAATATGTTTAATATAAAGTGAACATAAATGTGAATTTTAAGTAATTCCACTATTTTGGTTTTAGCATATTTTGCCACAAAATATAGACCTGCCAGATGTTTCTTCGTTTTTACTTTAAGCTGCACTATTTATTTTCTTTAATGCTATTAATGAGAGAGCGCAAAACGCGAATTTCTAAACCACGTCTTTACCCAAATACACTCTATAAATAAATAAATTTATTGATTGATTTAAATCAAATAAGTCTATAATTGCTCAACTGTCGTGACAGATTTCGCGGGAAATTGTATGCCTATACTGTACGTCATTGACTCGTTGGAAAAGTAGCTCTTTTTTTTTTCCTAATAAGCAAATGAGGAAAATTGACAATGGATTATTCAAAACAGCCAACCTCCGGGGAATCACCATCGTAAAACAAAAATTATTCTATTGCACATTAATCTGCGCGACTGAGCCGAAGCACAAACAAAACAATCTTCTTCCGCAAGACGCGTGCAGTTTTATTTTTTTAACCGTTGGGGTTTAAAATTGTTGCTTTGATCAAAATGTTTCAAACAAAAATGTTTTATATTATGTATTACTTTTTTTTTTTTTAAATCACTTTTCCTACTAATCCTTTATTGTACCTACAAAAGCCAGTTCCAGTTTGTGGTTTCACTAAAGAAATACATTTTTAAATGAACTATATCTTAAATGACATCATCAGGAAGTTACATCACTTTTGGTGGGAAAACAACAGCACATGATTATCAATGGATTTGATGAATTCTTTCCTTAAATCACAATGAAAACAAACTATTTTTTAGCAGGCACTGCATTAACAGCAAGGACCCTAACGTAATGTGAGAACTGCTGATACACATGAAGGCAAAATAATGAATTCATGAAGGTGAGACTGGATTGTGGGCGGTGAGGTGGCAAAATGAACAGACAGGGTTCAGCAGTCATTCAGGGGAAGCGTGTGATTCCCTGTGGCAAATCAAATGAATCATCTGTTATACTGTAATGACCCGAGCGGTGAAACATGCTCATTATACTCAATTATATGCATGTATGACTTCACACTGTGGAGCACTTATCCTTTCAACAGAGAAAGTGTATCTGTTTTGTTCTCGCTGACTGACTGCCACCTGTCTGTGTGTGTGCACTGATGAGGTGTCACCTGCACATGGACACTCAAAGCACTCGATGACTCACACTGACCTCTTAAGATGAGAACGGTGTGTCTGTAGAATATCTTATTATCCAGAGCTAGAGTTCGACTGGTTGTTTATTATATGTAAAAGAAACAGAAAAATATAGTTACAATGGTTTCTACACTTTCTGAACTATAGATTTGTACGACCAGTTTTTTTTTTTTATTAGGCCCACCGGGTAAGGATTTTTCAAAATGAGAAATGGTCAGTGCAATGAATATAAACATATACTACTGATGAAAAAGAACGGGTTGAATGTTAACCACTTTCGTTTCCATATAACTATAACCTATTATAAAAGTTCATCAGCATGCATTGATTAATCCCATGTTGCAAAAAAAATATATAAAAAAAATATTGCCACCAAATCATGTGCTCGTGGTCAAAAGAGCGACCAGTGGGAAGAATGAGTCTGGAGACCTGCCACTGCAAACTCTTATTTTTAAATGAAAAATGTACTCTGTGTGATTGGCTTTCCACCCTTTGTATTAAACTATGCATACAAACATGATGCTGTTTTGTTTATAGTTGTTAAGCAACTTAATTATAATTGGTTTATAAACATTATTTTAAACATTATGCACTTTTTTTCACAGATAGTCATGTTATCTTATGCTTCGAAGAAACGTGCATTAGTAATATTTTGCTCGATGCGCC